CTTAGTCATGTTGATATATGTAACACTATTTAAGAATAGACAGCAGCAGCCCTTACAATCATGGCATTATCTAAGGGACCAGTGCCAAGAGCTGACAAGATACCAAGAGCCACTCCTGTACTACAAGACATCAAATGTATAGCAGCTATTGACTTTGGGACCTCATCACTATCAGTAGCATACACTGCTCCAACAACGAGAGGAGATGTAAAAGTTCTAGCACTTCACAGTACACTGGAAAGAGTCCCAAATGCTATACTGATCATGAAGGAACAAGAAGGGGAGCAGTATACAACAATTGGAATTGGAAATCAAGCACAAAATATATACAGCAGTATGAGGAAAGATGTTAAAAATGTCACATACTTTGAAAGAATAAAAAATTTACTTGAAAGAGATAAAGTGAGTTACATGTAGATATAAAACACATAAAAATAATGTATCCCTCAGACATTAAATCGTACTACTCAAGTCTCTTCATTCACTGGAGGATCTTACTATCTTATTGAAGTTATAGCTTTTATACTAACACACCTCAAGGAGAAGCTACTGACTCATTTCAGAGGAGAATACAAGTCAAGTGATTTTGATTGGGTCATTACTGTTCCTGCTATATGGAAAGCAAGAGCAAGAAGAATGATGAGAGAAGCTGCTTATATGGTAACCTAATACATGCTTTGTATTTCATTATGTTAATATAATAGGCTGGTCTCACTTCTGATGCTCCTGGTATAACAAGGTTCACTCCAGTTGGTTCTCCTTTACCACGTCCAGAGGAGGTTAATCCTCAGAAGCTATCATTAGCTCTAGAACCAGAAGCAGCTGCTATATATGCACATAAGTATTCAGAAGTTAAAGGCCTTCCTCCACAGAGATATATGGTAGTTGATATAGGAGGAGGTACAGTTGATATTACTGTACATGATAAGAGTAATGGGAGAATTAGTGTAGTACTACCACCAATGGGTAACACCTGGGGAGGAACAACCATCAATGAAGCATTGTCAATGTTACTGCAAGAAGCAGTAGGTGATAAAGGTTTTGAGTCTTTCATAAAATCAGATTCAATTAGTGCCAAGGCAACACTAAATAAGCTCTTCTACGAAGAATTTGAGAAACACAAAAAAGTATTTGGCGAGACAATAGTGGGTTTACATGAAGTAGTAATAAGTTTACCAAGCAAATTAGTACAATTCTATGGCAGTGATAAGCTAAATGAAACAAGCCAGATGAAGATGCATTATGATCCGGGAGATGATTCGCTAACAATAGGATACAATCAGTTAGAAGAGAAGGTGTTCCAATTCACAATGGATATGATCATAGAGTGTGTGACGGCAGCATTTGATGAGCTTAAGCCTAATGGAGTCGATACAGTTTATCTAGTAGGAGGGTTTGGAGGGTGTAGGTTTGTTAGTCAAAGGATAGAAGAAGCTATCGCTCAGCATCATGGCATGCTTTATGATAATATAGTGTGTCCTGTACAACCAGATCTTGCTGTTGTATCAGGAGCAGTAATGTGGAGGAAAGATCCTAACATAATCCAATCACGTGTTGCTGATGCTACCTATGGGGTAGGATGTGGTCCTATATTTGACCCATCAATACATGATGAACATTACAAGTATGTAGATGAAGATGGTAAACAACGTTGCAACAATGTCTTTAATGTATTTGTACTCAAAGGAGAAGAGATAAAGGATAAAGTATGTAAGACCACATTAATACCTATTTATCAAAGCTACACACAAATTAGTATCTCTATATACTGTACAGCAGATGATGGGGTTCAGTATATAAAAGATAAAGAAGGTAAACTAACAGTATGTGAGATTGGTGAGCTAGTACTCGATATTCCTAATCCTGGTAATGTACCAAGAAAAGAGAGAGGATACAACGTATTTATGGATTTCAGTGGTACAGAGATACAAGCAAGAGCTCAGTATAGTATCACTGGAGAAGAAGTGAAAACAGTTTGTGACTTTCTATCAAAACAAGACTAATAATAATAATGAAAATGAAAGTAACTTTTAGCAAGAGAATGTACATGTACATAATAGTAACAATAACTGTAGTTTATAATAGTATTAGAAATAATTAATAGAGGGAGTGACTTTCATATATATCTTTAAAATAATATTTTATGACTTTTAATGCTATTTAAAAAATCATTTTATGACTGAATTTGCACATGAATTTGTCAGCAAAAATTAGTACCATGGAAAAATTACATTAAAAATGTTATTACTTACATAGAATTAACTATTACTAAATATTATGAACTATTAACTATACAAAGCGAGGAACACAGAAACTGCATACTCACTACATTATACTCACTTATTAGTCTAGCTCCTTACAAGGAAGTGATTGAAGTGATTCATAAGCTATTAGATGCATTCATCTTGAAATTAATTATTTCCCATAATGACCAGCATTATGGTACTTTTTAAAAATACTATAACAATCTAT